GGTGCTTCAATATTGCTCTGCACAAAAGCATTCACAGTGAATTGCATGTGCCTTGCTAAAAATTGACTTCTTTGCCTTATTAGCTTTCATTTTGTAACCACTTAAATGGGGCAAACAGTGATATTTTTCCTTAAGTTTTGTTGAAAGAGTTCACTTTTTGAAGCTGTCGGTTTACAAATTTGAGCAATGAATAGCAGCATTAAATTATTTTTTCTTTTCCATATACAAGTTTCTCCTCCAGTCTTCTTTACAGCAAACTTTAACAAGACAACTAGGCTTGATTTAAATGGATTTATTAAAAACCACACCACCACAACTGCCAAATCAGTTGATTAATAAATACATAGGAGATCCAAATAAATCTCCTGTATTGATTTCATATTTTTTCTTTCTTGAGAAGCCAATGTCTTCCATTGCAGCAGGTGAATAACATGGATCTAAAGCAAGTCTTGCATCAGATCAGCTTAAGTCCATGTTCTCCCTAAGTTGATCGGTTTCAAGCCAGTAAGAGTTGAAAGTGTTACCCATCTTTTGGTTCTTCAGTATGCGATGGATAACACTCCATGCTAAAATTACCAATTTCAACAAATCGCTTGATAATTTTTTAACTCTTAACTTGACATTAGAAAGGAAGGTAATATTTTGAATCCGCATTGTAACAATCTTGAATGGTTTTAGAAAAGACTAATGTACCGATTTTTTTTTTTTTATTATTATTTTTTTTTGTGGAGTGTGTACAGACCGAGGTCCGCTGGTTTTTCCTTTTATTTTTTTACTTCTTTAAATGGGAGATAAGTAAACTGCATGATATTTGCAAATAAATTGCAAAAATGTGCATATGTCACCAATCGAAAAGCGTAACTGTTTTTTACGTGAGGCTCTGCCACATGCATATTTGCACTTAAAGTGCTTTCCTATCTAAAGCATTTATACCGCCAAGTCACTCAATGAGTAGTTTGTGAAACACTTTGAATACTGAGAATTAAGGAAGTTTAGTCTAAAATTACTAGTAAATGAAATGTGTGTGTGGATTACTAGATTGTGGTCTGCAGAGACAAATATGACAAAATTGTTGAGTAAAACTAAACTGTAAAAGTTTGTGCAGTAAAGGAATGAGCAATGTAAGATTTATTAGCAAGAGCGTGAACATTTTTGGAGGGAAATTATGTTGTGAAAGACCGTTATGGATGTTTTAGTGCACAACCATGCTGCTTGGGCATATGGAGTAGTGGTTTGTTTTTTACAACCTGTTAGAAACATTATTTTGTTGAAAATAACTTATTTTCCAAAATTAAGCACTGGGTGATTGAAAAGTTTGTAGGCAATCATGGCCACTAACCTATAAGTTACCACCAATGGTGGTACCAGTATGAGTGCATTTGCATGTGTTTAAGGCTGAGAAAAATATTAAATAAAAATATTGCAAAATTGGAAGTGCTTCAAACTGGGGTTTTTTTGCCTTCTTTTGGATCAACAGCAAAAAACAAATGTGAGGAAGGCTGAACTTGATGGACGCAAGTCTCTTTTCAGCTATGTAACTGTGCTTTTTTAGACATGCAAGTAAGACAAAGCTATAGCTTTTTTAATTGTAATATGCAAATAAGAAATCTTAAGTATAAAGGAGATTGCAATAAATGAGCTGAACCTCACAGATGTTGGTAAACGGCAATTCATTATGTTTCACATTAGCAAACTACTGATATCTGGGCCATAATTGTGACACGAAGAGCACGTTTGTGGTTTCTTGCCAACTCTGGCTCGATATTAGTGCCTGGCTGACTGTCACAGGTGCAAGTGCCTGTAAAATAAACTGAACCTTTATTGTGGTTCCATCAAAACACTATAGACAAGAGTTCTCTAAATTTTGGCCCTCCAGATGTTTGCTGAACTACAACGCTCATGATTCCCTGGCCATCTATCTCATTCAAAGAATCATGGGAGTTGTTGTTCAGCAACATCTGGAAAACCAGAGTTTGGAGAACCCTGCTATAGACTTAAACTGATTGAAAGTAATGAAAATAGTATGTTTGTTCAATTATTTGCACACAACGAAAGATATAGTACAAAAAGGGGAAATAAATGGTTAATAGGGAAACCCAACAATTCATGAAAATTGTTATTGGCGTGACCCCATCTCTTATCAAAGTAAAATAAAGTTGTGAGTAACTGCCATGTGTAATGCAAAACATATTTATTTTTTGTAAGATACTTGAAATGTGGTTGTGTTTTTTTAGTTTTTTTTACTTTTGTTGGGGTAGTTTATCAGCAAGGCTGATTTCCAACTGTTTCTATGAATGTGTATGGCAGAGTTCCTCTAAAAATGTGTGTAATTGGCTACAATAAAATGAGTCAGTTCCTGCTTTCTGCAGGCAGTTTGGTTAGGGGATCTTAAATATATCTTAGAATGTGGATGTGGTGTGCACAGTCATTCCACAAACCTCTACAAGGAAATCCACAATAACTGTCAAGGGTGAACTCTAAACACCAGGACGGCCAGCAACATCAGTAATGCAACACTCCTAATATGTCTTTATTACTGTACCTGAAACATTTTTAATACATATATGTATCTACCAGAACTCTTGTATTGAGCATCCCTATTGTTAGACCATGTGTTTAAGTATTTGAAGTTATTTGAAATACTACTGTGTACTAACACAACCACAGTCATATTTAACCCGCAAGTACTTCATTTGTTCTCACGTATAGAGGAGAATATTCTGCAACCTTCTAAATCCAGTGGTTACTAATCTTTGCTACTAATAATTTTGAACAGGTCTTCCCATGATGCTTTGCCAGCTGCATTTGAAATAGACTACTCTCTACAGTAAACGTATCAAGGGCTGGCCATTATTGCCCGATACCCATGAGCCCCTAGGTTGAAAGCAACTGTTCTTGTTTAACTATTTTACTTATATTAAAGGGTAACTATGCTTGATGTGACAACCAATATTTGTGATTTATGTAGTTAATACATTAAAAAATATTCCAACAATACAAATATACTTTTCTGCTCTTCTGCTTATACATTGACAGCAGCAAGAATGTGTCTCAACAGTTTTCATTTTGGTCAAAGGTTTTTTTGGGGGGCAGGGGTTGTTTTTGTTATCCTGTAATCTCTGGCCAAGTAGAGGTTTATGGGATATGTAGTGCAGACCCTTGCAAAAGTTCCAGTCATTAAATCTCACTCAATCTTGCAGAGGGGATTAATTATCTAAACATAAAATTGTAGTGTATTAAAGTCAGAATTGCTAAATTTAGGCTAAAATAGTGGAGCTCATAAGAGCATAGAGAATAATTCTAGATCGTCATCTAGATCAGCACTGGGTTTCCAGACCTGGTAGCATGGAAATCATTACCTGGAGGAAGGCTCAGACAGTGTGTACAATCAATAAAACATTTCTCTCTAGGGCAGTTATTACCCACTGAAAGCTGTTCCCATTCTAGTTTTTCCATAAAGCTGTGTCTGAGTAGTAAAGGTAATTATTATCTAATTGCAATGAATGTCATTACCGAAATAGTTGAGGTTTGAGTTTTGGGTTTTTTAAGCATGTGACTTGGCATTTGGGAGCTTGTTTCACCAGGAGTTGTGCAAGAAATATACCCTCCCCAGCCTGCTCATACTAGCATTCTCCAGCAGAAGTATGAATACAGAGTATCACGCTGGAGATTTCCTTGAAATGTTCAGTCTGTCCTTTTAGAGTTCTTAAACAATTTACTAAATAGTGAACGTCAAAGTCAAGTGACCATCAGCTGATTGATATTACAGTGTTTGATTAATGGTCACAAGGTTTCAGGTATGCCAGATCTAAAATCACTATAAACATACATTGGCTAAGGATGAATTAATTGTTATGTAATCCAGAATGCCACAGAGTTAACGAGTTTAAACTGTGCTCACTACAGTGGAATCCATTCTAAAATGTTATCAATCTTTGCATAGTTTTGTTGCAGAAAGATATCTTTATGTGAAATATGTTTCTATGTGCACAATATAAACACGTAATATAATAATTTCTACAGCTCTATTGAGCAATTGGAGTGCCATATTCGTGTCATTTAAGGGCTTTTGTGTTTCATCATTAGTGCTTGAAAATATCTTATTGTATTTTTAAAATTTCTTTAAATATCACGCGGCCTGAAATGGTTTGTGACTGGTTTGTACCATTTTAATATGTTCCTGATATACAGGAGGATTGTAATAGTCTATATAGGGAATAGTTTTTTTACAGACGTCCATTTGAAAACAAAAGCTATCAAAAGCCACAGCGTAATGGCACCCTTTTCATCAATTTTCATTTATTTATTTACTGCGGAGTCGCAGAGCAAATAAAAATGCTGGCAGATTAACTTGCAATGCTTTTTTTTCATTTTCGGACAATTTGTTTTCTATTTTACAATTTTTTTTAATGTTCAAGGAGAAAAATTCCCAAACTACCGCAAAACTGTGGATCAGATTATTCATGCAGCATAGTCTGCAAAACCATTAGAAAACTTGCTTTTTTACTTTTGTTTTGTGTTTAGGGATGTATTACTCAAAATATACATTCACTGGTTCTGTGTATGCAAGCTTTTCTCTTATCTTGTCTCTGGAAGTATACTGAACTGTAAAATAAAGGCTTTGGGAACGTAACAATTCCCTTTTAAGGGGCCCAGCAGCATCTTAGCAGCCTGTTAACCTCCAGTGCTCTCTCTCTACTGGATTGAAGCCATGTGATTTGCATGAAAACTTCCTCCTCAAACTTTTCTCTCAAGAAAGTGAAATTGAGTGGAACCTCTTTTCATTTGAGCAAGAACTGGATTGCATAGACACTCATACAATTTATTTCACACAATCAGAGCCCACCTGCTATGCAGAAATCACACGGGGGCACATTACAGATAGCATTTAATCTTTGCATTGTGCTAACCAGCTTACTGTAGGATGTATTACTTTAAGTACTTCACATTATATATTTATGCTGTCAGTCGCTGTCTGTGCCAGCACAGTGAGTAGTGAGCTAGGAATTCATGGAAAATCCAGGAAAAAAGTGCAGGTAAGTATGTTTTCTATATATTTCCTATATATTTGGCTACAGGGTACAGATTGGATTGTATTACATCCCCAAATGGGACCTTGCCATTTATGCATGGCTGGTTTACTTTATGTGTGGGACTACATTTAATTTAAGTGGCTTAGGTCTGGGGTAAAAAAAAAGGGTCATTTACCAGATTAAATGTGTGTGAAATTAGAATATCATAACATATATGATAACATAAGTATTCTGAACCAGAAGAATATTAAGTAGAACACGGTGGGGTGGGTGCGTGCGTGTATGTGTATGTATAATTTACTTTTTATAAGGGGGAGACAATATTTATAGTAAAAATAGTAACAATGTATATACTTATAGGATAGATCAGTATTTGGTGTTTGTAATTCGGTAATTAAGCATGTGATTTTTTTTTTGATTTTTTTTTTTTTAAATCTACTTAGAAAATATAGAATATCTGTATCAGGAGACTTTAAATTGCATAACTGTAACTCTTTAATATCAATTGTAACTAGAGAAGAAGAAATTGAGGTATGAAGTTTGAATATTTGAATTAATTCGTATTTATTATTTTTTTTTAATCACAATCTTCAAAATATTTCAGAGCATGCTTGTATACGTCAGTTTAACAAAATGTGAAGAAAAAAATTCAAATGTGAAAAGTTCTATTCTAGGAAGAGAGAGATTTAGAACTTATAATTATTGACCAAACTTTTCAGAAATTTTTTTAGGCCCTGTCATTTGCTACAAATGGAATTATCCTGTTTATTTTAGAACAATTGTCATTTTGTAAAAGTAAAATCTGTAGTGCGTTGTAGATTGTAATTACGTTTTCTGAACACACAACCAAGAACACGCATAATCCCTGCCTTTGTTAAAAAAAATTCTATTCATCAGAAGAGATTCAGGGAAAATTCCAGTCTTTTGTGCCATATTTTTGAATTGTGTGGCTTTATCGTAATGTCCATTTTGATTGTAAAGTCTGTAAAGGTATTCCAAGCAGTTCATAACATGCTTGCATTGCATTTGGTAAACTGTGACTCATAAGCCCTCTAGTCATCGGTTCTTATTCCTTGCACAACCTAGGTAGATCTATTTTATTGTCCAAGCATTCTGATTGTGTGCTACCTCTATTGTTTGTATGGTTTCAACATTGGTTCCCATTATGCTGGTGTTTTTGGCAGGTATATACATTGCTAATAAAGCTGCACCCATTTAATAATCTGTTTTCTTACATGGAATATTTCCCTCTGTAGTGACAGTTTATACCCTTTAGCCATCCTCTGGGCTGTTTTTCAGAACTACCTTCCAAGTCATTTTTCTTTTCAAGTTAAACAGTTAAAGCAGGAATGCCTTTTGTGTGTGTTTCTAATGTTCTTGTGTGTGTGTGTGTGTGTGTGTATCTGTGGTTTCTTTCCATTTTTCCTTTACTAGTGTGTTTTGTATTCTGTTTCACTTTTTGAAAGCAGAACTCCAGAGAATTGACAGTTCCTTGTTTCTTCATGCTAGTGAAAACGATTACAACATGTAATGGAGTGAATACATTTTTTTTACCTCCACTGCATAGCCATGTTAAAGGTGACTCCGGGCCTCTATTGAGAAATTGGAAGTGAGCGCATGCGCGCTCCTTGTTTTCTCAAGCAGTGTCGTACATATGCATGTGATATACTTACAGCACTGTAGGGAATTAACTCGTTTGTGTGCTTTGCCTAGTGCTACCGGCAAAGCATATATTTAAAATAACAATGAATATATAAAAAAAATTAAAACAAACATATTTAACACAACCAACAGCTAACATTTAATGTTAATATTTTGGAACTGCCTCTTTAAGCTGCAAATGCCCCTATCATCCTCACTAGTTCTGAATGGAATGTTGACTAACTGTAGCTGTCAGTCAAGTTGCAAATAATTAACATTCTGTTATTACATTCAGAAAAAAAGGACTGTGTTAACATACAAGTGCCAATACCGGTTGTTTCATAATGCCTTTATACTTGCCCCATTTAACTTAGTTTAGAATTTTTTCATGAGTGAAACTACTCATTACTGTGCATGTGCCCAATGTGGGCTCTTCTGTGGGTCAGTGAGAGGTTAAGGGAACCTAAATACAAATAAAATAGACTGTAAAACCAAAAAGAGCACAAGGTTTAGGTAGTCTTCATAGAGTTTTGTAAAGATGCTGCAGTGGTGACACACACACTTGTGTAACACACACACTTGTGTAAGACTTGGAGCTTCTATCCAGATCCATGATTGCATAGTTGTTTTATGCTCTTCAGCAAAAACTTACCCAAAGAGCCTAACCCATGTGAATCTGGCTGCATAGGATTTGCCTTCATGTTTCCTATACCTGAGTAATTTATTCTAATTGGTATAGTCCTAATTTATTTATTTATTTTTGGACTTTATCATATAGTTGTTTAGGAAAAAGTCCAATTTATGAGATCCAAGACCATTAAAAATGTGTGATGCATATATAATGTCTATAGTCAATCATACTGTTCGAGCACTTCAGTTAGTCATAAAATCCATAAGGATGACAAATTGCACACAGTGAATATTACTGCAAATATTCACTCTACAATAAAATAAATTGCTGCAGCATTCTGAGCTATATTGGCCAAAATGAAGTTTAGTTTACTGTATCTGGCTTAATAAAGTTTCTGGCAAAGGTTGTTGATTGTTTATGCAAACTACTAATGTGATAAAGCAGCCTTATTTTTGCTTTACCTAAAGTATTGCAGTTGTTGTGATCTTTATTGAATTAGCATGTGTAACTGTACGGTTGGAAATGTACAGATAATATATATCTATTTAGCTTTTTGTCGCAGATGCTGTTGTTACCTGCCAGTCTGTATTTATTCAGATATTGCAGTTTTTAAAAAAATTATTCAATATAATCATGCATGCTTACAAAAAATGACATAAAATTATCAAATGTACTAGGCAATTGCCACCTTTGAAGTTAATATTATTACATTAAAGGAACTCTATAGACACCCAGACCACTTCATCTAAACAAAAATGTGGCCTGGGTGCCACGTACGCCCTGTTTTAATCTGGCAGCTGAAAACATTGCCATTCTGCAGGAATGTACTAAATCAAAACAAAAGCAAAAACAATTTAAGGTTGGGTGAAGACAAATTACTTACTGTATTATTTTATCACCATTAAACCCTGAATGACATCAGTATTTAAGGAACACTCCACTGTCCAAATACAAAATGTTAAAGATCACTGTTTAGTAGATATACCCCCAATGAATTACACTTTTCATTTGTCTAAAAACAACTTGCAAAAGCTACAAATCTCTTGTCTGAAGCCTGTGCAAACCCTCACCTTTTAACCCAGCCCAGACATCCTGTGGCTGTCCAATGCAGCTCAATGAGAAGTCTTTGCAAAGTAGGTGCTCTGGGCAAATGCCTGCCTCTTGAGTTTAGCTCCACTGAGTTAATCAAACTAGGAAGTAACAGGATCTATTGTCTGATTGACCGCCATAGGAGTGTAAGAAGACTAATTTATGAAAGTGCCAATTTCTATTAAAATGTCCACGTTTTGTAAAATGGAAAGAGAGGATACACTCTTCACATAAAAAGCACTTCAGCAAGCTGGACTGTCACTTTAAAGTGATTTTTTGCAGCCTGTGTAGACTAACGCTTTCTTTTTCTTAATGACCTAATATAAGCTCTAATATGTTCAGTGTTAAGTAAATCAAACACAGAAATATTGGAATTATTTATTTTGGTTTTGATGTTCCAAGTGCATCAATGTATAAAATGATGTATTATGTGTAGGAGCACATGGAAACCGTATAAACTATGCTGACCACAAAATATCATATGCACATTCCAGTGCACTACTTGTGACCTTGCCTCTGGAACCCTATGGCTGCATCTATCTGCATCTTCCCATGCTGGTGTGGAGGTTTTGATCTTGGGAAATTTCTGACTAGCAACAAACATACACCATGCTTCTTTTCATTTTATAATAATACTGTTAGGACTATTGACTTATTCAAGAAATACACATGCACAATTAATTAAGGTTAATGTTTCCTTGATCTAAATAATTAAAGTGACACTATAAGCAACAAAACAACTTTAGCTTAGTGTTGTGGTTTTGGTACATAGATCATGCCGCTGCAGTCTCAGTTCTCTACCATTTAGCAGTTAAATCAATTTGCTTATGCAGCCCTAGTCACACCTCCACTGCATGTGACCTATACAGTCCTTGATACATTTCCTGTAAAGAGAGATGTAATGTTTAAGCTTTATTGTTTTGGTGCTTAGAGTATCCCATTAATGTAGACTTTACATTTCCAGTATTACTGTTTATGAAGAAATCATCATATAAACTTGCTTTTGACTTTATTGCATTTGAAATTCCATTCTTTCAGATTTTTATTTCTTTTTTCTAGACTCTAATGAAGATGTAGAAGAGTTAGAAAGACAAACATGGTGACATTGGTCGCTCAGTAATCAGTGTAGATCCTGTAATTCAAATCAGCAGCTACATCTGGCTACTGGGTCTCTAAAGTCACTGTCCCATCTTTTCCTCGCATGTGAGAAAACAAATGGTGCATCAGCAAGTAAGAAACTCCTCAACAAATATGATTTACCCATTTTACCTCTAAAAGCTAGAAAAACTGCTGGGATCTTATTAATCGGGTATGTTCAATGTATTGCTTTGCCGTCAGAAAATTACAAGAACTTGACGTAGTCGATGAATATCCAAGTTTCGGCATGCACCTGGCATACAATGTAGACATCTGTATTTATTAAGAAACAGCTACATTGTCTGCTGGGTTTCAAGCTCAATGGAATTGTTCTCCAGTGCACTCAGTCAAAAAGAACAGGACACCGGTAAGTTGTAAAGCATTCAATAATATACAAGCTGTTATTTAAATTAAATATGCTATGTATCCATATGACAGAGGTTGAAAGTGACATTCCAATGCCTAAATAAAAAAAGTTTAGTAGATTTACCACAAATTAAACCATGCATGCATTTGATTAAGCATTTTTTCATTTGCAAAACCTGCAGTTCACTTGCCTGATGCTTTTCTAAGCCCTCCTCTGCTTCCACAGCCCAGACTTTGTGACTGTCCAATTACAGACTTTCCATTGCAGCTCAATGAGACGTCTTTGCAAAGTTGTTGTTTTGAGCAATTGCCTGCTTCTTGAGTTTAGCTCCATTAAGTAACAAGAAGTAACAGGAGCAGTTATTAATTTATAAAAGTTACAATTTCCATTGAAATCTGCACTCTTTGTAAAAAAAAAAGAGGACACACTCTCTACACCTAAAGCACTTCAGCAAGCTACAGTGGGTACTGGAGTGTCCCTTTAAAAATCCTGAAAATGCCAGAGAAAGATGTGCTGTGTCATTGGGAGGTCTCAGGCTTTGTATCATTTTACTTTGTATATCGTAATTAACTGGTTTAATTTCTTTGTATTAGGTTTTCAAATGATGATGTACGTTTCACTATTGCATTATTAAATAAAATTATTCAGAAAACATACTACTTCTGTGCAAGTGTTATTTCTACAGGCATGAGCAAACTATAGAAGTTCTAAATAATATCTCTCCATCTATGTGCGTCTCTCTCTCTCTCTCTCTCTCTCTTCTGTTGTTCAGACAATGATGGCATTTACAAATTCTCCTCTACAACATGTGATTTTGCTATGAAAGTGTATATGTAAAATGTTTTTAATATTTTGGTTATTTAATGCACTACTGAAATTCCTTTCTTAAGGATAAATTACTATTGGTACTTTACTGGTACTTCTATACCATACCCACAGTGCTAAAGATATTAACGTACCCCCATATACACAAGTGGCATGTCAGTAGCAAGGTGGAACAGGAGACGAGAACATGCACTTATCTGTTCTGCTATTTCTTCTCCTTAGCTCCCAGCAATCGAACCATTAGGAGCTGCACAATCTATGTATCCTTGTGCATGCACTGGTGTCAGAATGGCTCTATTGAAGATCTGGCAAGAATATAGCAGCACACACATATCTTTTTGTGCATGTACATAGGCATCATCGTGTGATAGCTTGCTTTTTCCTATTGGTTATGACTGATGGAAAATAGAATAGGCAGATGAAAGTTAAACATTGCAGATTATTACCTTGATTCATTGTTAAGCTTTTCAAATGATAACAGATTTCAAAATATGTTAGAAAACATTTTCAAATATTGAGCACATCTCTACATTTATTATATGACCGGATCCTTCAGCTATATACATGGACCCTTGGTGGACAGGTGTTTGGAAACCAACACTTTGTCTTGGTCTATGGTCTTCCCTGCTTCTGTGGAGGGAGTGAAACAAGAAAGCCCATAGAGACTGTTTTCACACTTCTGATCAGCATGTTTCTTCTGTGTGTGTTAGAACTAGCTGCCGTTAAGAAAGGCAGCAAGTCCCTCACTATCATGTCATAGTGTCTGCTTTATTCGCCAACAGCAGATCACATCATCACGTGAAAATGCTGCGGTAGGACAACTGACATCCCAAACACACTTACCATCTTTTAACCGTGTTCCTCCTAATTTTGACATTTAGTCGTTTTCCAAAATTGACAGGGAGAAATACAAACATTGTGATGTGCCCTGGATTCTTAGTATGTTAAAAATACAAAGTAATTTTAATGCAAATAAACCTACAATGTATTTAAATCCGATTTTCTTCTCAATGCAAACTCTCATTGAAATAATTGAGAATCACACCTCCATGAATTATCTCGCTTAAAACAATGTATAAAGTTGCTTTAGATAGACAATTTACTGGCTTTGTGCCCTTTATCAGAGGATGCAGAAGTGTAAGCTCTACATAACCAGTTTACACCATTGATAAAACACTGCAAATCGCCTATAACTTGTGCTAACCTTTCTTATTCATGAGATACTCTGTTTTCTTATAGTAGAGTTAGCAAAATGACATCATAATCCAGTTCAGACAAGGTAAAGCCAGAGCAAACATTACTAATGAAGAGGAGAAATGGAAACCGAAAACCTACATTGATATTCTGTGCTCTATATGTTCACGTACGTGTAGTATATTTAATTAACACTAAACAAAAAGGAATATACTTATTTCCCAGGGCTGTCAGTGGAGCACAATGTTATCCTGTGTAATGAGATACTACAATCCTTGTAAATCCTTTCTAATAATATTTTCAAGATACTTCATATGGCACAAACAGAACACAATATGTAGCAGGTTTTACAGATTCATCCAATTTGGCAACAAGAATCCTTCCAATGATAGTCTCCGATACTTCGTGTTTTTAATTATGTTTTTAAAAAATATATATTTTATTAACATAAACCACGAAACTGACAATAAACTGCACATGATTATGATACTTGGCCAATTCAGAAATGTGACTACCATATGTTTTTGCCTTTACACTTGTTTATCGACATGTGATAGTAGATCCTGAGCAGGAAAGTGCTATGATTCCGAAATCAGTTGTCTGTGAGTCTAGGTAAATCATCCCATTTCTCATTGTCTGGGTAAGTGGATCATATCTGTGGAATCACTGTGGACTTGATTTATCAGAAGGTGTTGCTATTTTGTTCTAGAGACGCTGTTTAATAGCCATATAAGTAGAATTTCCAGAAACCTACTTAATGGATAGATGGTCAAAAAAAAATATCAGTCCATTTTGTGAGATGAAACCTAACCCACTCAGTAGACAATATAGTGGAATCTTCGTCCATGTTCTGTGCATGGAAGGATCAGGTGGAAGAATCCATGTAATGGGATGTTTACCAGTAGTAAACGTAACCCTTTTTTGATGCACTGCTTTGTACTAGGGGCTGAAAAGGACTTAATAAAAAAAATATATATATCTCCTATACAGAAGCTATAGCACCACAACACTAAAACTGAGAGACAAGTGGCAAGGTCAGTAGCCAGTGATAAAGTATATATCATGGATCCTTGGACTCCATTCTCACTAGAGGCTCTTGGGAAATACCATCTGTTGCAGATCAAGAAGCTCCGGTAGTAGAGTAGCTCTGTATTCACTCTGTGTTCCCGCTCTGATTTGTAAATGTGGAGTGGCTCCTAGGTTCAAGCCTCAGACTGCACTGAAAGTAGCTGGGCAGAGCTGATGATCACTGGATTCAAGACTTTGGGTTTAAACCACTGATTAACTGTTTAACATATTGAGATAAGCTGGTGCCCAGGAACATCCTCGCACCATAACAACTTAATTGTCCCTTCTTCAACTTTATGTAAAATAAACCAGTATTAGGCATGAATCTATAAACTTTGAATGCACTTTCCAATCTGAAACTCACTTTTATTTAAACTATTTAGAAAGATGTTTAAGTATTTTCTTACCAAATACATTTCTCAGTGATCCAGTGCTGGTCTTCACCCAGCAGAGAAATTATATCTCTTTGCGAAGGGTTCTTACCAGCCCCTCTGCAATTCTGCAGAAGATGTTAATTCGTAGACTAACATTGCAACCAGTACACTTTAGGCACGCAGACCACTTTATCTCATTGAGATGTCCCCTTAACCCTGCAATGTAAGATGTTGCAGTTTCAGAGAAACTGTAATGTTTATATTGTAGGGTTAAGACTGCCGCTAGTAGATGTCTTCCAGACAGCCAGTGTAGGCACTTCCTGCAGTTTCAGAGAGTCTACTGCTGGGAAACCGTGCTGGCAAACCTCATTCTTTGCATGAGGACGTGGCATTGAAGGAGAAAGTGCCAGTGCTTAGGGACATCAGCACTGGAAAGAGACAAGTTAATAAAGGTTTTGTAACCCTTTCAATATGGAGGACAGACAATAAGTTAATGGCAGAGGAACACTATAGTGTTTTGAATTCCTAATGTTCAAGTATTCCTTTAGACTGGTAAAATGATTTCCTTATATTTACTTACAGAAATTCTATTTACAATATGGTTCTATTTTTAGAAAGTTACATTCTCGAAAACAGCATTGTGTTATAAAACGCTATAAGCCTAAATATTTGACACTTTAATTTTTATCACATTTGCTGTAAAGGTATTTCTGCAGATATGCCAATATTGCCGGCCTTGTAAGATAACTGATACCATATAATATTTAAAAACAAATAAAGGGGAAAAAATGGATTGTGTAAAATTGCATTATTGTATTTAGGTATCCCTGAGCAGCATTCTATAGCCAGCATTGCTCTTGTGCTTTTATGAAATAATTAAGCATCACATGTTTGAAATTACGCATTTAAAAAAAAAAAAATAATAATAATAATAAAAAAGTAAACTGTATAGTGCAGCATTAATCCCCTTGCCATTACTACAGGAAGCACAGTACCATTACTTTTCACAAACAATTTAACGGTCTCTATAGTTAGGTTGTTGTTTAAATAGTAACTTTTAATACATGTAATGTTAAGCTGTTCTCAGTAACTCCAGTGTGAAAATATTAACTTGATCTGTAAAAGCCACTTGGGGGAGACCTATGCTGAAGAATACTTCAACAAATGCATTGTATTAGTAGCAAACCTCGGGGAAAATCTCTGAACAACATTGAAATAAGCAGCCATGAATTATCAAAGTCTGCAGTGTAACCAATTGGAGCATTAAGCTTTATGTAAATGTTATTAACGTTTTCTTCCACTGGTCTAGTTTTTACATTGGTTTGAATAATTGCTTTAAAGAGACACTGTAGTCACCAGAACAACTACAGCTTATTGTATATGTTCTGATAAGTATCATTCCCTGCAGGCTTTTTTGCAGTAAACACTTTTTTTCTGAAAAAAAGGCAGTGTTTACATGACAGCCTATTGATAACTCCACTGGCCACTCCTCAGATAGCTGCTAGAAGGTGCCTTCTGTGCAGCACTGCCATTCAGTGTCTTCGCCCTGTGCATGGAGACAATTAACTTTCAATATAGATATGCATTGATTCAGTGCATGTATTTGAGTAGATGCGGATTGGCCAGAGCTCTGTGTTTGACTTGTGCAGGCTCTGCCCCTGATCTGCCTCCTTGACAGTCTCAGCCAATCTTATGCTTTCCTATGGGAAAAGTGGCTCAGGTCACCACTTTCTATAATGTCAGACAAGCAGGCAGAGCCAGCAGCAGCAGACTGTATTTAGTGGTCCAGCTTTATGTTCCTGACCATATAGTGTTCGTTAAGCTTGAACAGGCACCCTACAGCTGCCTTTATTATGTTGCCTAGAATGCTCTGGCACTGTTGTTGGCTCATTTAGGAATGGTTTCACAGGTACCCAGAGACAGCCTCTACCTGGCCTCTTTGATAATTTAGAATTAACACTTAGACATTAACAATGTCAACTGCCTGAACTTGGACAGCATTGAGAGTGTCCGGCTAACTTGCACCTACCACTCTTAGCCAATCATGTTAGTATCCAAGTTAGGTGAAACTATGGTTTGCATGGAAAAGCATTATGATTGACTGAGATCATCAATGGGGTTAAAGTAACCCTTTAAGCTCACATGCAATGTGTCCTTTATAGCACTTAAAGGACCACTATAGTGCCCTGAGGGTG